TATTGTAGGTTTTCAAACTAATTATTAATTGGAGTTTTTTTGGCTTATTTTTTTTTAACTACATTTAAAGTGTAGTTATATATTGTGTATCCAGAATTAAATTACTAAAGCTACAAGTTTAACATTTTTTCCAGTAAAGGTTTGTGTATCTTGCATGGTTGAAGGTTCAATTCCAGTTTCTTCCTGTGAAATGTTGATGTGTCCCTGAGCAATGCACTGATTGACAACTTTTCCTGCCAATCTTTTGTGTATAAAACGATTGGCTTTTGTGCATAAATATTTGTGAATGTGACTGAGTGCATGTTGCTCTTGTGTAAAGCGTGTTACAGTTTTCCCCCACTGATTACAGATTTTATTTATTTCAAGAATCACACGAGTCACATGATCAGCAGCCGGATGTTGCCACTGGCGTAAAATACAAAGAAGACGACAGGAAGTGATATGGTTTTAATGACTTGTTGAGTGAATAAACTTATTCATGTCTGATTTTAATTGCATTTCTTTTTAATGGAAACCTTGCAATTGTAAAATAGTGTTTTTTGATATCAGCGGAAGTTTTTCACACATCTCTAATGCAAACACAGCTACTCATGTCATTTTTCATTCCCAAAAACCGCTGACCAAATTCAGGTCCCTGTTGATTTTCTTATTAATCAATGGTGTGGAGAAAATTAAATAAGAAGAAAATCCCTAAATAATCCAGTGTTAACTAAGAGCTTACACTCTGGCTCCTTCACAGTGAAAATGCATCCAAAGTTTTACATTTAGCATCAAATCGCCTTTCATTAACAGTGAAAGGAAAAGGCCTTCTGCTCATTAGGTTCTGCTGAAAGGGTTTTTGACAACAAAATAAACTGCATCTCAACAGCAGCCCTTGTTGTTCCACTGTGTCCCATTAATTTGTTGGCAATAATTACCTTCTCCTAATGGGGAAAAGGGAAGTTTTGCAAAAGACCTTCATTGACTCGATCAGAGCATGTGAATTTTCACATCTGGGTCTAATTTCCTCCATCACTCTGAGTAATTTATTAATACCGTATATTATAATCAGATATTCTGCACAAAAATGAATTGCGTAATTAATCTCTCTGGTAATGCTGGGCTCTTTAAATGTCAGTAATAACCGACAGTATTGTGTATTATGTGGATAATTTATGCCACACTGATGGTTTGATGCTTAATTGTTAATAAATCTGTTTGTGGTGAAAAGGAACCAAAGAACCTGCAGGTGAAAAAACTTGAACTGTGAACAGAAGATGAGCTCTGTCTGCCCACAAACACAAGCGTTTCTAAGCCAGTCGGCTGCACAGAAAGCACTTCGAGTAAACAAGCAAATGTTCAGACTTTCAAACAAGATCTGCTTCTCCACTGACTCATTCACAGCTGCAGACTATTAGATGCAAACTAATGCATCTCCCTCACACTATCGATTATAGAACGACAAAACTCTGTTTTCACAGTGAAACCTGTAATGTGTTTGAATTACTTACATCTCATGTATTCATACACTGTTTCCCATTAAACTGACACATTTTATGAGCCATAAAACTTATTTCCTGACTGACTTTCTGAGGTTGAAGCTGATGAATGCCACACCAGGAACATTTAATCAGAGTTCCTCAGTAACACCTGATAATGATAATAATATAGCAGAAAAATATAGTTATTTAATAAGTACAATCATTTGAAAGTTGAGAGGTTTTATATATGGACTTCTATCTGTGGTTTCACAATTTCTTATAAAAAAAAAATCAAAAATACATTTATATTCAGTATTTATTCAGAAGATATTCAGTTCTGCATATAATTATATATATTTAAAGTTTTATTCTCAACATTAAATTTAGGGATTTGGGTTTATAGGGTCGTTACAAGAATAACACTCCTTTTTCTTTTTTTTTTTTAAATATAAGGTTTACGGAAACAGTCAAAACTAATTTTGCATTATGAATGAATGGATCTGCCTGCCAGTTTTCATATGTTGTTGGCCATTATCAGTTGGCCATTTTTATAGTTAGTTGAGATACAAAGCTTCAGGCTTATAAAACATTACCACTTGCATGCATTCTCAAAGTTACACTTCAACACACTGCAGCTCTCGATATTTCCACTGTTGTCATCACAGACGTTCACACATACAGCAGATGTTACGTTTCTGTTGCAGAATTGTGTTTTGTGAAGCTGAAAATGTGTGTAATGATGTTTTTGCGCAGGGAGAGGAAGTGTTGCACGGAGACACAGTTGCCTCACGTTGCCTTTCCTCATCATGATTTTAAAATTGCAGATCCGATATTGAATATTGATGGATTACTCACAGTCCCCTCTTTCCCTGTTTACAGCTCTGTTCTAATGAGATTGCTTTGATTTCTTTTCATTGCTAATGAGATTTCTGAGCAGCGAGGGGGCACTGAAGCCTAATTATCTCAGTATTGATTAATTTATAGTTGCTATTTTCATAAATTTAAGTAAAAAGATGTTATATTAGCTTTCACCCTTTGCTGGAGGTTGTTTCTGTGAATCGGGTGCAGACAGAAGACAGGTTGGTTTCATTTTAATTCTCAGTTGGTGTTGCCTGAAGAGGGAAAATCGAGGTTGCATCAGATTTTTTATTTTTTTTAATCTGCTGTGCTAGGACATGGGAGTTTTAAACAGACAGTTGGAAATTTCACAGGAGTTTAGAGATGCTGCAACAACTTGAGTTTGAAGAATCAGAAATGTTTACAAGAGAGAAAAATTGTCCAATTTGGGCCAATTCCAAACAGGATATCTAAAATCTGAAATGAGAACAATCGTAATCTTGGTAACAGTTCATTCAAACTATATTGGATATTTACTTGCCTCTAAGTGTATAGTCGTTTCTCCTGAAGGCCAGGTTTCTTCATTTAGCTCAAAAATGCTCACTGCAAACTGAACCTGTAAAACATGATGAGTCAAGGTGACAATCTGATGCAATGATAATGCAGTAAAACCCAACATTTTCTACAACACATCTTCCTATTGAAGTTTTGCTAATTGTTATGAAACTATTATGTCCAGCTGAAAGAGGTGAAAGATGTTTTTCCACATAATATTTGGTAGAATTGTTACTCCATGGCTGCAGCTGCCAAGGTTATGATGCGAGTCGCCGAATATATTGATGTTAGAAATGCTGCTTACTACTGCCAGGTGCTTTCAGGTTCTGTTATTGTACAGGCAGAAAGTCCCCAGAGTCCTTCAAATATCAGCAGAACAGATCTGCTGCGTGTAATAGATTTATTAATCTACGGATTAATAAATCCTTTTTATGAACAAACATATCACACTGAATCAGAACCAAACAGGAACAAAGACATCATCCAGGAAGAGGCTGAAGCTAAGAACCAAAATCAGGAAAGATTTTGGTTCTCAAAATCTGGATTTTCCTGGATTCTCCTGGATTTATAAGGAGCTTTTAGCTTATTTGTTTCATACACATGAACAGAGTTTAAATTTGGCCATTATTTTTCTATTTGCGTTTTAGTTCAAATGTTTTGGCACATTTAGCTTTCCTTAAATCACTTTTTGTACAAGTACTAATTTACTTGTCTGATTTATAAAGTTTTAGTTGAATAACGTTTGACTTATCTTTATCTTTATGGTTGTCGGTTGTTAAATTCTTGGAGTAGACATTCATATTCATGCTCTTATTTTGAAGGAGGTGATAACTGTTTACGCAGCAGTTCCATTTCCGCTCCTCAATTTAATCTCTATTTTCTTCCTAGTAAATTTCCTAATTTGTTCCAAACAAGAGACATACATAAAATATAGACATAAATACAATATCTGCGGGTATTGTATAATATGAACAGTAAGTTATAATGTCAAAGTTAAAGTGATATATGAATTGGAAATGAAGTTAGCATTAGCTTTAGCTATACTGTGTTGGTGTATCGCTTTAGCAAAGCCAGTGTTTACAATTAGTTCCTATCTGGTTACAAGCTACTCAAAATCAATACTACCAATTATATTTGACTTTAACTTGATGTATCATTGGCTGCTCCACTTATTTAAAATATTTTACTTTACTCTAAAGTAACCTTCTCATGGTGTAGGCTGTTTAAATGAAAAGTACTAAAAGCATAATCAAGAAACAAAGGAAGAAGGGATTAAGAGATATACTTGAGTGAACCAATGAGGTTGTCCCATTTCAGATACTTCAGACCAAATTAAAATGGTTGTGTCAAAGCATATGTCTAATTAGAGTGTTTATGTGGTGGATGTGGCGCCCTGGGGCTAACGGAAAAAACTAATGTAGCGGAAAATGCGTTTTAGCTGGGCCATGAAATAATGATGAGACTCTGTGACTTAATCATGTTGACACATAAAGCTTTCTCTTCTTCATCCTTTCTTTCTTCAGTCTTCTTCATCCGTCTTTCCCTCTGCTGCCTCTGATAAACTGGCTTGTTTTGGTCCTGCTGAGAAGTTCATTTTCATTATATTGTTAATAATACCCAGTTGGTTGCTAAAGGCTGTATAATATCAAATCAAAAAGTCATAATTATTAAGGTTAATTGAATGTATGGAAAAAATATTAGAAAATAGAAGTTTTTGTCAGCATTTGTATTTAAATTCCTTTTCAACACAGGACAATATAATGATTGAAGAGACATAATGCGGCAGCCATTTATCTTTTATTTTAAATATTTAGAAAACTTGTAATGAATAAATGTCACAGTTTTCCTTGTTTTCAATTAAGTCCCAGCAGCATTGTCAGTAAAAATGATTAAGAATGTAAAACTATGCAGATCTTTGCTTTATTTTGTATATATTAGTGTCCACATAAATCATTTTCTTTTTTGTTTTGGAATTATTGACTAAAACTAAATTTATAATTGTTGATTATCAGTAAGCAAGAAAATAGGTTGAGCTGTCTGTTGTTTTTTCCTCTTATGATTTTTCCAACCTTGTTTAATTGGCCGTTTATGCCACTTTGTCATGTCTGAAGTGTAATCTTTTAAACTCTTCCTTGTGTTTTATCTTAGGTGGCTGCACTTTTGAGGAGTCTTACAGCAGCTGTGGGTACAGCGTGTCTTTAGGAACCAACGGATTTACTTGGGAACAGGTCAACTCCTGGGAAAAACCCACCATGGATCCCGCCCTGCCCACTGGTAGGCAGCATGATATGTTTCTTGTTGTTTTTTTGCTTTCTCAACAGTTTCCGAGGCAAGAAAACCATTTTTTTTCTTAGACATCCATTATTGACATCATTTGGTCATAATTATTAATCAAATTAAGTTTGGTCTGTAGTTTTTAGATTCAATTTAGTTTCCAGTCTCATCTAATATGAATAAAATGTCAAATTATAAATTTATGTGCGATTAAGATGAACATTAAATTAATAAATGAGGCATTTATAAAAGCTATTACATATTAATTAATTCTTAAAGCACCTGTTTATCTTTCTTCCCCTCTCTACATGAGGAAAGTCTCTTTGTTTACTTCTCTCCAAGTTGGTGCTCAGTTTCTGCACCGCCAGCCTTCTTCCTAACTATTTATTAATTGTTTTGATATCAACAGCAGTGTTATATATTAATTTGTGAGTGTTTTGGATAAAACCATATGCCAGAACATAAACAAATGTCTTAAAAACTACAAAAACCAGAACATTGTTTGGTTTGTATTTCTGAGCTGTTTATCTCCATGACATATCAGAGATATTGGAATAATTGACTGTTTCACATGGAGCTGGACAATAAATCATGTAGCATCAGACAACGTTGAAAAGGCCAGAACTGATGGTTAAATGATGATTTATTAAAGACATCCACATCGTTCATCAACCAACATAAGTGCTAGACGAGAACAAATAATAATTATAGTTATTTTACCATCCATTGTTAAGCATTAGCTCTTAGTGCATCAACACAACAATATGATTTTTCTTCAAACATTTAAAATTATTCAAATATTCTTCAGTCATTGTCAATTTACCTTGTTCCGTTATCGACTGCAGCGAACATTGAGTTGATTTTCAACCTTTTTTTTTGTTTAACCTTTTCTGGTTAAACTGTGTCCTGTTGCCATAGCTACCTCAACAAGAAAGTCACCAAAATAAAAGCACACGACCTTAACGGGGTTTCGTTAGAACACAGGTAACTTCACCTTTACAATCATGAACACATTGTGATCAATATGAATAAACATCTGACAGAACATCCAATAATAATGTTTTCGCTCATTGGTTGCCTAGCAACTCACTGGTTCTGTGGTTGCCTAGCAACAGCAGCAGTTTTAAGGTGTTGCTTAAAAATAAAAAGCAAAACAACCGCATGGAGAGAAAACTTGTGTTGATACATAGTCTTACGTCTACACTGAAAGGGCAGCTCAGGTGCAGTTCGCTTCACAACAGTTTTATTGATCAGGGAAGTTAAAATCTGATTACTTCGATCACTCTTGTGATTCTACAGAATTGCAATTGTTAAACATTTTTTTAATATACACACCACAGTTTGAACCTGTTGTTTTCTGCATCCAATGAAAAGTTTTTCCTGAAATCTCTCCGTTGATCTGAATTGGCAGACTCAGTAATTTGACCCCAGCCGGGTTCTTTTCCATTTGTCCAACGCCAAATGGCAATCAGACAGCCCGTCTATCCATCTCGTTTCTCCCACAGTTTTGCCCTTTTGCCCTCTATATCTCGCCCACAGTCTCACTTTCTAACACTTGTGCTACCCAACACAATCTTCTTCACACCTTTTTCTTATCTTCATGGCTAGATGCCTGCTTTTCTCCCGTTTGATTGACATGACTGGGGTTTTTTTAGGTACACTTTCATCAAAGCAGCATTTAAAAATCCATGTTGAGGGAGATCATTTTAAAAGTCACTTTGTTTTTACTTTGTAGAGCTGCCAAAATCATAAATATGTTGTCAAAATCCTACACAGAGTAAATTGGAGGATAATGTGTAAGAAAGAAGTTGGTTCAGTTGGCTCTGTTTAACTTTGTCTTGAATCACAATAGAAAGCAAATGGGGCAAATTAAAAAGCAAATATGTCAGACTGGATAAAGAGACTCCACAAAGGGAGCCCAAATTATTTTTGAACAGGTTCAAAATGAAAACACTTCTTTATATCAAAGCCTTGAAGACTTGGATTTATTAAACACAATATTTTCTCATGCTGAGCATATTTTGACAAGTAGTTGTGTTTTATAGAATCACAGAGAAACATCACAGTTTACTTCTGCGGAAACTCCAACATATTTGGAAAAAAATGGCCTAATTGTGGATTTTGGAGCTGGACAATACATCAATATATATTGGGATAGACACGTGATTGATATCAACAGACAGATCAATAATTTCCCTGAACTCCGACTTACAGTCAAACGTAAACAAATGTGATGATGTACGACTCATTTTGGCTCGACTGGGGTCGTATTTCATCAGTGAGCCATCCACAGAAATTGGATCTACAACCACTAAAAATAGGGTGCAATATAAAATCTTCAGAAAATGTTAGAGCTGAAATGATTCCAAAGAAAAATCCTTTAAAGAAATTATCTTGTTATTGCGTATTGTTCATTTCTTTTTGGCTCATTCAGAGGGAACAATAGAGGAAGATTGGGAGATGAGAGCTAAAGCAGAAAAAAACAAAACAGAAGCGAACAGATTCTAACTATACCCAGTTAAAACTTATCAAAACAGCCCAGTTTCAACCAGAACGTTGCAGGTGCATCTCTGATTCTTACAACTGCGTTTCTTGAAGACAAAATCAGTTTTTGGGGAGTAATTAGGGAGTAAAAGGCAAATACAGCATCCCAAATCATCACAAGCAAACTGCTGAATGAAGATGCAAATGGAAAAATCTGGTGGCTCCAACTTCCTTTAAATAAGGATTTTTGATAATTTTAGATTAAATCGTGTTTTAATTTAGGAAGAAATCATGAGTTAGAGTCCTGCTGGTCATAACCCAAAAATGGTTTAGAAGGAAACACCTAAGTGATTTCTGCTGCTGGAAAAACCTTTTCACTGTTTTCTGTTTATGTCTCACATTCCTGCATAAAGTAGGTTAATGTTTATTGACAGAGATTTGAAGGAGCCAGTAGGTTAATGTCCATTGGCTGAGTTTTGTAGGTTAAACATCACGTTTAACTGAGTTTGGTACCTTAAATATTTTGTTTAACTGAGTTTTGCACGTTAAATATTACAATGTTTTATTTGCATTGTTATGACACTTGACTTCATGTAGTTTTTGATTGTTGATTCTATGTCGCATGACTTTGTGTTATTGTGTTTGTCATGTAAAGCACTTTGAAATGCCTTGCTGCTGAAATGTGCTATACAAATCAAATTTGATTTGATTTGATTTTGATTCCTTGCAAATACTGCATTTGGTTGGATGAAAAAGAACCAATCAGTACAATCCAGCCATCGCCAGAAAACCAAAAACTGTCAGATTTAAGAAGAGCACAGTCAACTGTTCATGTAAATTTTAATTTGGCATACAAAAAGAGCGTTTTGAAAAGCGTCATCTAATTTATCTTTCTTCTGTGGAGAACTTGTTATTGTTGGCAGATTTTACCCGATTCATTTGCTAGTTGAAGCATAAATATCTCCAAATCTCTTTCTCCCTTTTAATTCATTCCTCCACTGTATTCTAAGTTATGATGCTCCTCTTTCCATCCTAAATGATCTGTTAGTCAGATCAGTTATAGCTCCCATCCATCATCATCATCCTCATCATCTTCCCATCTAATTTTTCTCCCATCAGTGTCTGCAGTTTGTCAGTGCCGCTGCCGTCTTCACTCCCAACACCACCGAAGATCTGATCCCATCCAACTGGCTGCTACGCCATTCCGTTTTCGCTCTCGGTTTTTGCAGGCCTCTTGTCAGTTATCTGTCTCATCTATCGGCCCGTGGGTGGCGGCTGTCAACCACGATAGCCATCGCGGCCTGTGAGTGATCAGCTGCCCGCTGCTCTGACAGCGAAAGATCTGATCAGGCCGGACAGGAGCAAATTATCTGTTAGTTTCGTCTCTCTGTCTCTGAGTGCCGGCCATTTTTTTGTTGTTGTGGCTGCTATTGCTCAGTGGATGCCTATATTAAAGTATCAAATCCATTTATCAACACAGCAGTATAACTGCCAAACTTCTTTACACCAATGTTCAACTCTCCCTATGCAAAGTTTACAAATGAAATGAATGAAGCTACAGACATGTTGCAACATGACGTCACACACGCAGGATGCTGCCCTCGTCTCCCTGCAGCTCACAGACGATGACTTGCTTTGGTTTTACCTGTTGCCAAAATAATGTGCTAAATCTTAAATGTACACATGGCATATACATACAATAAAAGGGACACAGCGCTTTGGTATTTAATTACTGGATAACAAACTCAGGAAAACTTTTAATTAAAGAAATAGTGGTTCTGAATTATTTTTCAATGGTTTTTCTGGGTTATTTTCCCTTTGCTGTGCACTAAATGAATAATACCTGAATCTCCAGGTTTCATTTTGTTAACAGAAACATGATGCAGCTATGGATTACATGTGAAAAAAATTGTCCTCAGCGTTGTGCACATGTGCAACATTTCTGGATGTAAACAATAATATCTAACATGTCTATGCGGTGCCATGTATTTAGTTATGTCTGCATAAACATAAGAGTGTCATGGAGCATAAACAGATTGCATTTCTACTGAGTTGGGCTTGGCACCTTCAGCTCTCTCCAGCTCCATTTAAACATAGTTGGCAGGTTGTCCGTAGCTGTGGCAGCTCATAGATTTTGTGCCGAACCCTGATTAGATAGGAATCAGTGCTTTGGCTTCTTTCATCATCTCTATTGACAAGGTAATGTTATAATCCCCACCCCTGATGGTTTATAGATGAGAAAAGATTTGCCTAGGATGATGATAATCTATGCTGCTCACCTTCATATAGATTTCATAATATTACAGCTTTGAAAGCTTAAAAATTAAGTTGAGAGCTACAATAAAAAAGCGTTTGTGCAAAAGGAAGTTTTAGAGGCATTAGGACAATGAAAAGCTTTTATCCACGGAGAACATCTCAAACCGGTTGACCCTGAATATCATGTGTATATAAAAAATATTCAAAGGTCCTGAATACAAAAAGTAATGAGTATGTTTTCACAGAAGGTTAGACTGCAC